TAACATAGTGTTGCATGAATACTTTGCAGAATATTTGCTTATAATATATGTATGATAGCTATTTATTTTCAAATACAGTTATAAAGTTTGAGAAACAATGGACAGTTATGAGACACTGTTAAAAGCGTCCAAAGGTCTGGAGCCTTGAGCGGCTCCTCCTCAGGGCGCACAGAGACGGGACCAAAACTCAACAGACCTGTTTGATGATCCAATCGATTGGAGTGTGTTTTTTCGGAACATACTACATATTCTTAGGCTTTCTACACACACACATACTGTAGTTACATTGTTGTTTCAAACTTTTACTAACTTGTTCGCTTGGACTCTCATTCTTTTAAATGTAGTATAAACCACTGATAGTGTTGCAATCAGAGATAACACCGGGCAAACATGAAGTTGGAAGAGTCTTAAATTCACATAATAAATGGTGGATTGTGAGAAGTTTGTCTACATTGGAAAAGAACGGCAAAGTGAAGCAAATTGGAAGTGCTGGCCTCTGCTGAAACATATTACTGGAGAGCATATATCATTTTTTATAGGTCACCAGTGAGACACATCTGTTTCCACTTGGCTTAGTTTCCATAGCAAACATGTGAATGGACACTCCTCGCGTATATGTCTGCTGCGTCTCTCACTTGTTAGAGGTGACACGTTTGTCATACATCACACTGCAGAGCTAGAGCAGGCGTCCGCCGACAAACAGCGGCCTCATCTTCAGAGTTTACTCACTCACACGGCTCCCTCCAAATGACTTGTTTACATTATGTGGTCTTTTCACAGTCAACTTATTTGACAGTTGAGCAACCCACAGCCTGGCATGCCCGCAGCAGAGCAGACCTGGCTCTTTTTTTCTATTTGGATCTCAAAGCCCCTCATGTGTTTGACTTCTTTTTAATGACTTCCTGTCTGCTGGGTCAATTATGAGTCCGGTGCCCTCCCTCCTTACAGGGGCCTGAGGTGGGCAGCCTTTGGTGAGACGTGCGGATTAAATGACAGAAATGTGAGAGCACACTGATTTGATCATATTTGACTGGGCGACGCTCTTCGGAATTTAACCGAATATTTCACTGCAGCGAGTGGATTTCTTTTCTTGAGCTCTATGGTTAAAAAAAGGATCAGAGACAAAGAGGAGACTATTGATTTGAAGAGGCTTAAGACTGTATTTGCTCATATTGATTTTAGGTCAGGTGCAGCTTGGTGAAATCCCCACTAGTATTACTATCTTTAACACGGAAATCAGCTTAAGAGTCATCAAACACAAAGGGAAAAAAATAAAATATGTTTAAAAAGGCAAGTCAGGTCTCAGTAGTGAAGTGGAAATGTAATTCTGTGAGTTGTAGATATAGCTCTTTTCAAACTGATAAAACAGTTTGAAAAATCAAGTTTCACACTCAGCCATGGCATTTTAACATTTCATTTTGTTGCAATATAGGCATCAGTACATTATCATTTTATCAGCATTATTTATTGTATTATTAATCTGTTCAATTGTTTAGTAGAGGATTTACACAAACGGGTTAATGAGTCAGATGAAAGAATGAATATTGGATAAAGTATTATAATATGAATGAAAATAACCTGATCAGAAGAGAAAAAGATCCTTGTCAGTATTGCCTGTAATCTCTGAGTCCCCGCTGGCCCTCACATAGTCTCAGTGTCGGCGCATTGAGGTCAGAGCCAGAGAGTTGCCCTTAGCTACATAAATATTAACTTGAGTCTTGGCTGTATGGAGAAGAGCCTCTTTGATTACAGCTGTGCTCCGAGTCTGATATCCAAGGAGACGCTGGGACCAAATTGAAGAGTGAATGGACACAGGGGCAAAGAGACAGGAGCTGAGTGAAGTTCAAGGATTTTAAACCAACGCTGTTTGATTCAATGCAAATGTAACAAGGGAAATACTTGCCTCGTTGTGAATATATGGAGGAGTTCAACTAATTAATTTACATATCTGCAGTCATACTCTGCACTGCATATTTTTGTGCCAAACTAAAAACAAAAGTTTCATCAGAGCACTTGACAAAAGGCTTGAAATATTCCTCACATGCTTTACTGTGTCGTCTGTGGTGTTGCTTGAGAAACTCCTAAAGGAAGTCGTCGTTGTCATAAACTGCTTTGAGAATTATAATCACTTGGGAAAAAATGGAAAAACATAAGTGGAAGGATAAAGGTTTTGTTAAAATTCGGTGATCCTTAAACCAGTCCAAATCCCAGTGAGGGTGACAGGGGCCTGGGTCAGCATCAGTCCTGTGACCGAGTCATGTGAGCTGAGATGTCAGTCATGCGGTTTTGGGAAAGAACCCAAAAGATGTTTAATGATCATTGTTGGGACTAAGTCAACTCAGTAAAGTCACAAACATAACAAAATATTTCTGTAATATGATCCATGGCCCAATCACCTATTGTTATTTGTGTAAATGCGATTTTTATGAATGTTTTTGTGTAAATACCAAGTTTCTCTTTTTTAATGGAAAAAGAATATACCAATGGGTACAAGTAAAGTCACCTTGAACCTTGAACTATATTTGTCAAAGGGAATTAATCTAATCTGAATTCATTTGAGAGAAAGATATACAGTATATACATTCACTATACTGGGTTAGGTTTTGAATACAGTACATTGCATTACAATATAATAAACTATATGTCTATCTCTGTAACTATGTTTTATGGTAAATTTGCCCAAGACTTAATAATCTGAAGTATTGTGGTAATAATGATCAAAACTCAACTGTTTAGTGAGTATGTAAAAGTGGTACTGCAACCTCTCCCACTCTCCCTGACTCAGGTTGCCAGATATGCAGATTAATCCAGCTGGGACCATAATATCTAAATTGACAGTAGTTTTCTACTATATCTATAACAAACACCTTTTTCACAAAGATAGAAATCCTAGATTTATTCATTGTTAAGTCATTAATGATTTGAGAATTATAACAAGATCTTTTTTTATTCCTGCGGCCACATGTTACTTTACCAGTGAAATTAGCTTGACACTGTGAGATCTTGCACGGATCACAGACTTTCTGTTTGGTAAAACGTGGACATTGAAACAAAAACAATAACAAGACTTAGGGTCTGCAAAACTATTTTTGAAACTGAACTACTGTTATCAGTTCAGGAAGTATTCAAAAAGAGCACGGTTTATTTATGTCTTTTGACATATAAGGGCCAGTTTTTGATGACTTGACATACAAATCTTACACATTGCTACTTATGATTTTTTTTCCAGAAATGAATGGATACAGTTAAAATACAGTCTCACAGAACAACATTCATTGAGTTCTTATTTTCCCTCCATTCACGCATGCTTGTCTGCACTGTATCTGTTCAATTATAGCCATTGAGAAATGCAATAAACTGATGCCCCAGTGTGGACAATGTGAAGAGGAAGCAGCCTGGTGCTCTGGCTGCATGTGTTTCTCTTTGGGGCTTATAAATAAACATTTCCCCAGATATGGATGCCTGCCACCGGGTGACCTTTTTATTACATCTGTTTTCTCTTTTATTGTCCCGTACATGGGAAAAATGGCTCTATTATTATGTAAAATTATGCTTATTAAAACATTAGTTTGCCCCTATCCGTTGTTCACCTTCACATGGTAAGCATGACTCAACTTTAGTTTGTCTCTTCATTGCAAAGTCGGTTCTTATTGGAGCCATGTGCGTCCCTCGCCCTTTCTTATAACGAACCTCAACAAACTTTTCAGAGCTGATCATAACATATTCCCAGACTTTCCCAAAAAACCGTTGTAAACATAAATCGTCAAACAATTTTCTCATGCAAAAATATAGAGAGAACCAAACGAAAACACAAAAGGCAGCTGTTTCTCTGGCTCCATTGAATATGAAAAGACTTGCATTCCACTCATTTACACACACACACATGCGCACTACATCTCTGACAAGCCTGTAGCAATACAAAAGAGCCATATCAAAGCCTGAATACAGAGCGTGCATGCGGCTGCGGAGTATAATGTGGTACCAAACTGCAGCGAGTGCACGGGTCAACGTGGAAAAGCAGCCCAAAAAGTGCCCTTGAATGTGGAGTGGTGTCATGAATCATGTAGCAGAGGAGGGATGGAGAAAACGGGAAAAAAATCTACACTGGCGAGATAGAATACAAAAAAGAAAAAGTGGAGAGCTCTGGTCAGAACGCTGCTGTTGGTTGTGGAATTTTGTCCTGTGCGGCCAGTCGTAACGAGGGTTGAAAATAATGTTTGCCTGTATTAAATGACCAAAAACCTATACCACAACCATAACAGACGGATTTACGTATACATGGTTTGAAAATGGATGAAGCCAAAGCATTTACACTTCCGATTCCCACTCACCCATTCGACATAAGACAATGCAATACCAGAGAATACAGTATCGGCCGTAATTATTGAGTATTTTGATAATCTAGTAGCTGTCTGATTGTTCTTTAGGTGAATCGATTACTTGTTTGGATACCATAATGTCAGTGAAGATTGAATTTGTATACATTTTACCAAAAAAAAGCTCAAGTGATGCCCCTGGAGGACATCTTCATTGACACATTGGGTTGATTGATTAATCCCTAAAAAATATCACCTCTTCGTTTAATTCTGTAGTTATTATAGAATTATCTGAGTCATCAACCGTCACCTTAGAATGTTAAGACAAAGTAAGGTTCAAACAATTACTCAGTTAAATTCATTATTTTTTTCATTAATCAATTAGCACATAATACTGTTGCTACTCTACAGTACATACCCACGCACACGGACGTACATTGACAAGCACACACACAAGCACGCACACACAAGCACACGCGTACGCACACATACACACACAGTAGAAAATGTCCTCACGTCATTGGCTGAATGGGCTGGACTTCCTATATGGCAAAGTATGAATAAACATAGCACTGTTCAAAAAAAAAAGTAATGAAAAAAAAAAACTAGGCTATTGAAGGCTTTGGTAAAGTACACAGTGACTTTCCTCCTCAGTCGGAGCGGTGATGACGCGCACAGACGCACATGCACGCGCGCCGCCCCAGTCCAGGTGATGCTCTCTACTCCACGCCGGGTTTTGGTGCGTCCCTTGCGTTCAGACGGCTCTCGCAGACGGCTGCCTGCTTCTCCGCTCGATGCACTGGCGCTGTTTACTGGAAGCCCCTCACCGCCTCTGCTTCTACCAAGTGTCTGTCTGTGAGCGGGATCTGCGCTTGAGCCACACGCGACAATGAAACAAACTTTACGCACGCACACGTAGGGAGATAAGAAGGCACCAGCAGCAGCAGAGCGCGCAGGGAATGAAGAACTGACCATTGTCTCATTGACCAGAGCCAGAAACACACAAATCTGTCTCCACCATTCATTCAGTCAGTGTTTTTTTGGTCACCACTCGCTCCTCGGCGGCTGAAGGCACGTTGCACTTGTGCGGGGAGTCGATGGGAAGCCGCTGAAGGAAGAAGGTGCTGAGTTAAAAAAAAAGACGGACTTGTGTTGTCTTGCCATGGGAGTGCGAGTCCGGCGTGAGAAAGCGTGCGGACTGCGAGCAGGACAAGACCAGTGCTGAGTTCTTTACCCCCTCAAAAAAATCCTTCCAACATACATCCGAGCAGGGATCATGCCTGATTGTAACGCTCTCCGCTGCACTGGACTCCACCACTGACCGCTTTCATCTGCAATGCACTATTTCTACTCTTTCATCTGAACTCGCTTTGGTTTGTCAACTTTCTCATATGCGGTAAGTTAATTGACTTTTTTCTCCCTGGATATTTCGCACAAGTGGCTTGCAACTTTTACCCAGTCTTTACGCGTAAGGATTATTTGGAAATTATAGCAGTTGCCCACATTACATTGTAAACGGCCACATTTTACATGCGATTAAAACCAGAACTTATAGGCGTGTTTGTAGTCTTTTAAAATTACCCGGCCAGCAGCGAAGCTAATTGAAAAATGGTTAATCAAAACTGAACCAGATGTGGATTGATAGACGCCCCTGATATGAATGGAAACTATTAAAAATCATGTGTATGTTGCTCGAAAGGGAGAAAGCTGCGGCGTACTGACGTGATGTGAACCAGAACATGTAAAGGGGGCAATTAACCGTTCCCTTTTAAGAACTTTACTGGGCGCCTGAAGTTGTAAAAACACTACATGTATACTCGCTCTTCGAATGGACTTTACATTAGCCTGGATGCAGCGGCATGATTCAGACTCAATGGCATGTCAGTCAGCTAGTAAATGCTCTGTGGAGATATGTGGGTAAAGTGTAAACAGGTAGTTCTAAATCACAAGTTTGAGGTATGATGAATATATGTCAGGCTTTACGCGGAGCAGACTGGATAATTGATATGACCTTTTGCGCCAAGTCTCGACTCTCAGTTCTTGTAAAAAGATGCAAAAATAAAAATAAACAACAGCAATCCTATACTGAGATGTATTATTCAAGTTCGACCAAAGAGAGAATGTGTTTAAGCATGAAGCAACAGACTAAGCGCGTACATAAGCTTTTACGCACAAGCCGCTTCTCTTCTCGGCGCGCGTCCTTGTCTCCCACTGACCCCCGTGTCCGTGCGTATAGCGCGTGGCAAAGTAGCAGTCTCGTTATGAGTGATCAGTGCTGCTAGTCTACGTTTAAAACCTGCTTCGGAATCATCGTTATAGGCGCGGGTCGTCCACTACAACTACGCTACATCTCCCCGTGTCTTTTGTTCCAATAGCCTTCATCTGGGTTCTCACACCACTTACAATAAGAACACTATTTAATCTAGAAGCAACGCGACGCTTTTATCTCCTCTCCCTATGCATAACAAAGCGTGTATTCACCTAAAACTCGTTTGAATTCCATTTCAAAGCCCTCCTACTTCTTGCAATGTAAGCGTGTAGTTGAGAAATTCTGGTATTCTGGTATCATTCAGAAGCAAAATTGAGATGCAATTTGGTTTTGGGTTAATCTCAGTGTTATTTGGCAATGTAAGACATTTTAAATGAGCAAAGTTCCTGCTGCAGAGAAGTATTAGCATATGAAAGTGGTCATGACTTCAATAGGAGTCAGTGCATTTGTGACTTGGTTTAAGCCCTGGGTAAAGCTTGTGTGAGATTTAGGGGTTTCCTTCATTCTGACATCTTGTTTGTAAAATACCAAGCTATGTAGAATCTAAAAAAAAATACCTGCATCTTTTATTCTACAAAACCTGACAGAAAACATGCAGCTCCAGTGTAACCAGTAGACCAATTGTTATAACAGGTGTGCTTGCATTGTTGGTCAAATTCCCCACTTTTGAATGAACTATCAAAAGGCACTCTGCTACAGTTTTACTATCTATACAACCTTTACACTAATACTAAATTTGTTTTGTTTGGGGAGATGCACTTTTTCTGGAAGTGTGCCTGTTTTCAAAGCGTACACCAGCTTCATAAGACTAAATGTCTTCTCTTTGCTTCACCTGTACACGCAAATTAATATGACACAAATATGTAGCATTTTGAATATGGCAGATCGAGCACATGTGGAGATGGGGTGTGTATCACTCCATTCTCAACTCTTCATATCACTCTGGCAGCACATGGGACGCTTAAGATATTGTGAGTGTGAATGACTGAGAAGGTGTGAACGCATCCAACATTTTGATATTACCCACTGTTGCTTCATATTTCTCTCCTCCTTCTCCAGCAGTGAGCTCATGCTTAGACTAGACAACACAGTAGGAACGTTAATTGGCTTATTTAAAATCAAACCAAGCTGTTCCTACATTTTCTTTTGTGTGAAGGGGCTATGGCCGCGTACTGCCATGTTGCACAGAATATGGCGGTGGCTCGGGCACAACAGTGGTCTGTTGTCTTTGTCTTGATCATTGTTTCCATATGACTAGTAAAAGGATTGGATCGTTTGAGACTGCAGTAACAAAAAGAGGAGCAATGCTGTTTTTTCTTCCCTAAGTCCAACTGTCTTTGTGGAATCAATATGTAATTCATACAGTACAGAGCTAGCCTATTCATGGCTAGTGGAAGGCGTGTGGAGGGCTAAGACGTGGGATTGCTCTGCACTGTGAAGGCGATTACATTTACATTCCATAGCTTATTTACTGTGTAAATTGTTTCTGGTTGTTTTCAGATGTAATCTATTCTGCCGCTAAAGCAGCAACATGGAGCCATACTGTGCAGATAAGTGCACCCAGTTTAAGGGACTAAACAAGGCTGTAAAATAAAGTGAGGGTTCTTTATGTAGGCTAAAACAGCCAGTGGTGTCCCACAAAACCCAATGTTTTTTGACTTATTTCATAAAAATGTGTAATTTTGTAAAAGAAATAGAAAGCGTGTTCTTTCTCTTCCACTTTGTAGAACATTTGTTTCCACTTGCCAAAGGCTTCAGTGCAGCAAGGGATTCGGTGCCCCTGAAATGGCAGGTGAAACTTTCTGCTTGCCTAAATAATTTTCGAGAGGCAAATTACACGGCAAGGACACAGGCGGAGGGAGTGCGGGTCAATTCAAACTCTTGTGACAAGGAACAACATGGATATTAGGCGATGGCTCTTGTGGAGCTCTTTGCAGTGTTTAAGTGGCAGCAACACTGAGCTTATCTGGCATCTCTTTCCATCGCCTCATTCAATTCATTTGCCTCAAAAAGGGGACGAGAAAAGCAAGTGCGAAGTGCAGGGCTTGGTTGTAAAAAGCGCTGGGGCCTGGTTATAAAATAACTTTGTGTGTGTAACAGTTTAGCCTGCTCTCCGATTGCCTGCTCCATATGCACGTAACACACTCCTACTTTCTGAGTGTGTCCTGAAAGGTGTGAGCATACTGAGGAAAACAGCCAGTGGCATCACAGGTATCCCAACCAAAATGCAGAATTAAATCAGCAAAAAATGTAATCTGTGTTGGGGGTCCAATGTTTTTCAAATGTAGTTCAAACAGCACACACACTGCCTGTGTGGCCCTATCTGCGGGTCTTGCCCGTATCTGCATGGCCTCTCCTGGAGTAGAACAGATTCCGTTTGTGTGTGTGTCTGTGACAGCGAGAGGCTAGAGCAGCGGCTGTGAGCAAACAGCACTTATTGCGGCAGTGCCTTAGCACGAGTGAGGCCTGCACACGGCCGCAGCAGCAGAGGGGGGATCTGCCCTGCCAGGGGAAGCTCTCACGTCTCGGCTGGATTATAGAAGTGCGCTACACGTTCACACTGAGCAGCCCCCTTTCTAACAAGGCGACTCTGTTATTTAGGCTCGCTGTGGCCAAACATACCCCAGTAACGTACACCAACATAGATCCACATGTGCTCAGCAACAGGAAGGAGGTGGCTTACTCTGTTCACCTTTCATATTCTTTTACATATTTTTAATCATTTGTATTTATTTACAAATGATAACACACATATTTAGGAAACACACAAGTCCAGGTCAGAAACCAAAATAGATTTTGAAAATGTGTACCAATAAAAATATAATCTAATAATGTGGGATTGAGGTGGTCTAACCTACTGTTCCAAATGGTACTCTCTTTTGTACCGTGGAGCATTCTAAGTACACAGTATCCACACAAGTTATCACCCACTACAGACAAAAGAGTTCTGTGCATCCGTCACATGTAACAAATGCTGCATATTGTTTTCTAATAATACAATTATTGGTGTCATTACCTGAAAACATGAATTGCAGTTGAAATTCTGTGCATAATGTTGTCTGCGTGTTGTTCTAAAAATGTCCAAAATCACATGAATGTCACTGAGGCGCATTTACAATTCCAGCCCTATTGTTCGCAACAGATAGAGCTCCACCAACAGTATAGTTTTATTGCTTTGAAAAACTAATATGAAGCGACCCGATCCTAATCTGCTGTTATCCCACTTGTAAAGCTATCATATGCATCCCATATGATGCAGTCAGTATAATGGCCACTATTTACTCTGGGTTTATTTGGCTGGGTGTAGCTCTCTAACTGACATTCTATTGCACAGCGTTTAGTTGAGAGTGTGAAAGCTTTGTTCTTGTAATGCTGCTGCCAAGTCAGATGGAGTTGAGCGTCTGGTCTGGGACTTTCAGAGGAATATCACAGGCATGGGAAGTCGCTAAAAAACCCAAGCTAATCAACTAAATAATTGTCTGTTGAATCGCTGGCATTCCGGAGACATCAAACACAGGCGCGGTTAGAAAAAACAATCAAATTATCTCTTAATGATTGTTCACGCTGACAGACTTTGACTTTGGGCTTTTGTTTCGACGGAGATCCTGTTGATGCAAGTTTGCGGTTGTGTTGAGCTGCTGTAGATTGTTATAATTTACATACATATCCATCATCACCTGTAATGAAAACAATTTACTGTACTATGTGGGTTTTGGCACAGAAACAGAGGAGCGTATTAGTCTATTAATTTCCCGCAGTGACTCGTGAATCATGCCGCTTTCATCCCCGCTCTTACCTCTATGTGTGGTCTTCCAAAAATGTTTCCTAAAGTTTTGAGACCTGGTGTGTTTCGTCTGCCCCCTCCTCCCCCTTCACTCAGCTTAGATAATGTCTCTGCAAATGATTTAACTGCCCTCGCCGAAGCTCCTTCCAGTAATTGTACAAGAGACTTGGCGCTTTACAGGAAAACAATAGTGGTATTATCAGATCTCGGGCTCTCCACAGAAATCCTGCTAAAACACCGGCGAGTGTGGACACTTTGATGGGCTGTGAGGAACAAGAGGAAAACAGGTTTGCTTTCTCAGACTTTTCCAGAATGACATTTGGCTCGAATTCGTGCATGCCAG